GTTGCAGCTTTTTCTGTTTTTCAAGGTAATTCAGATGATCAATGGTATATTGATTCCGGTGCCGCTATGCATATGACGAAGAGAAAGGACTGGCTTTATGATGTTAATAAGCCTGTTATATCCAAGATCACAGTAGCAAATAGGACGCCTCTGTCTGTTGTCAGTACTGGTAAAGTGAATATAAACTTAAGTGAGAAGAGTAAAATTCAGGTGAGAAATGTCCTCTATGTTCCTGATATAGCAGTAAATCTACTCTCAGTGAGTGCTATGAGTAAAAGTGGATGTAAATTAATATTTCATAGCACTGGTTGTGATGTGTATAATAATAAAGATGACTACATCTGTTCGGCAACTCTCATAAACAATTTGTACCAGTTAAATACAAATGTTGGAGCAAATTTCATTTGCACTGGGATTTCTAATGAATCTGTCTTATGGCACCGTCGCATGGGCCACCTAAACTTCCCTGATGTAAATAGATTGCCAAGCTGTGCTGAAGGTATGAGTTTGCCTACTGAGAAAACTAAAAGTAATGTTTCGTGCACAACATGCAGTGAGGGTAAACAATCTAGACTATCATTCAGCAAAAGCGACTCCCGAGCAACTGAGCCACTTCAACTTGTGCACAGTGATGTTTGCGGCCCAATGGAGACGCCATCAATTGGAGATGAACAAACTACTGACAAGAATGACTGTGGACTATCTACTTCAATGTCATTTAAGAGAAATGAAGACTCTGCAAATGGAGGAGAAAGCACTGGTACCAGTGAATATGACACAGATGAAGGACAAGACAAGGATGAGACATATGTTCCAGACAGGCCAATAAGTAGTTCAGATAATTATAATAATATAACCTTAAGATCACGTCGACCAAAGCCATCTGAACCAGAAGATGATGAGTACAATACTAGTTTTTTCTGTTATGATAATCTTAATGATCCACAATCAGTTGAAGAAGCTTTATCTTCCGTACATAAGAATGAATGGAAAAAGGCAATGGTCGAGGAGCTTAAGGCATTGTCTCAAAATAATACATGGACCCTTGTAGAGAGGCCACTAAATAAAAAGGTCATACAGTGCAAATGGATATTTAAATCTAAAACTGATCAGGTTGGAAATGTGATACGCTATAAGGCCAGATTAGTAATTAAAGGATATAAACAAAGGAAGGGTATTGATTATGAAGAAGTATACTCCCCAGTGGTGAGATACACGTCAGTTAGGTATTTGTTAGCATTGGCTGTGAAGTATAACCTGGAGATAGATCAGATGGATGCAATATCTGCCTTTCTGCAGGGGGATATCGATACTGAAATTTATATGGAGCAACCTCCTATGTATGAAAAAGGTCCATCAGTATGTCTGTTACATAAGTCAATTTACGGTTTAAAACAAGCAAGTAGATTGTGGAACAATAAATTAGATAAAGTGTTACAAGAAATTGGCTTTCAACGTTCAAAGGTAGACCCATGTGTTTATTATAATATAAATTTAAAATGTTTCGTTGCAGTCTGGGTTGATGACTTAATTTTGTTTACAACAAACAATGAAATCAAAAACAAAATTAAACAAGAACTAAAATTAAAGTTTAGTATGAAGGACTTAGGTGAACTGAAAAGTTGCATTGGTTTGAGTATAACTAGAGACAGGATTGAAGGTAAATTAATAATTAATCAAAAGAGATATATTATAGAGATATTAAGCAAATTTGGGATGCTGGACTGTAGACCGGTGAAAACTCCAATTGAAGTTGGTATTAAGTTTGCAGCATCTGAAGATAAATGTAATGAGAATTTTCCATACCAGCAGGCAGTTGGCTGCTTATTATATTTAGCACAGGCTACCAGGCCAGATATTGCTTATGCAATTTGTACTCTTAGTAGGTTTAATAATAATCCTCAGATGGAACATTGGCAGGCTATCAAGAGAGTAATGCGGTACCTACAAGGCACCAACTATGCTTTGATGTATAGGAAGGATGATTCGAATCTAATTGGATACTGTGATGCCGATTGGGCAAATAATATCCATGATCGAAAATCATGTACAGGGTACATATTCATCTCGCAGGGCGGAGGCATCTCTTGGAGCTCTCGACGGCAGCAGACTGTGGCACTGTCGACTGCAGAGGCAGAGTACATGTCTATGGCGTCGGCAGTGCAAGAGGCTCTCTGGTTGAAACAATTACAGAAAGAACTGGCAGAAGATAATGATAAACCCCTAGTGATTTTTAACGATAACCAAAGTGCAATTAAGCTCTCTAAGTGTGATAGTTATAAACCAAAAACGAAACACATTGATATACGTTTCCATTTTCTTAAGGACTATGTAAATAAGTCATATATTAAATTTGAATATTGTAATGGTAGTCAAATGGTAGCTGATATCTTGACTAAAGGAACCACTATAGATAAGCATTCTTTCTGTGTATCAAAAATGGGATTAACGGGCTTGCGTTCAGGGGAGGGTGTTAGAGTAATGGAACGCAACCCTATTTGCTGAATAAACTAGCGCCATCTCGCGCTTATCTATTTTTAGAATAGTGTCATCCATTTTGTAATCTTTTTCGTGTTACCAAAAATATATACCAATTGTCCGTAAAAAGTATTTCTTTTTATTTCAAATTACCACAGGAGGAAATCGAGCCATCAATGCGTCATCAGTCACCATCAAATAGTTGATCCATCATCGAATCCATCAACGTTAGACATTCGTACCAGTTACCCGTACCAGTAGTAGCAAACATTCCTCATTTTAGCTCGTGAATTAGACTGGTAAGGGCAACTGCAAGACTCCATCGTTTCATTGCATTTTTATTTAAAGACAGGAGCCATTCTTTTCATAATTTTTGGGTAAGGGATATATGCTTATATAATAATGAGGTTGCGCATACTACTAATTCTTCTACTACTACCACCGCTGCCACTGCTTCTGCACCATTAACGGCCGAAGACATCGTACGAACAGAACGGCACCTTTTGGGGTGGAGTCAGCTGAACACCTTTAAAGAAGAAGTCCATAGTCTCCAACATAAGCGACCTATCTCTAGCTCACCATATTATTTCCGGTACTTAAAGACGGTCTGCTGCACCTTGCCGGAAGAACATCAGCAGTTTCTAACATTCAGCCTATAATCCTTAACGGCAAAAATTTAGTAACCAGGCTCCTCATACATCGTTACCATCAAAAATTTGCTCATGCCAATACAGAAACCATCATCAACGAGTAACGTCAGGAATATTGGATTCTCGGTTTAAGAAACGCAGTTCGCTCAATTGTTCGCGGCTGCCAACAATGCAAGATGCTCAAGGCACCAGCGCTTTAACCACCAATGGCAGACTTACCCGATGTACGGCTCGCACATAACCAGCGCCCCTTCACTCACACTGGGCTTGACTATTTCGGGCCTATGATGGTCGCTATTGGGCGCAGGCGGGAGAAGAGATGGATAGCATTGTTTACCTGCCTCGTTACTCGGGCAGTCCACCTCAAGATCGTTGCCAGCTTGTCCGCAGACTCTGCTATTATGTGCTTACGTCGGTTCATCGCTCGTCGAGGTTCTCCCACTACCATCTACTCCGACAACGGGACTTCATTCATTGGCGCCAACCGAGAGCTTAGAGCCCTTTTCGATCCACTGGTGTCAGACTTTGTAGCTGACAAGAAAATCTCCTGGCACTTCATTCCCCCTTCCGCGCCTTTCATGGGAGGGGCTTGGGAGCGACTGGTCAGGAGCGTCAAGTCTGCCCTGAAGGTGACATTGAAGGAGCGGGCACCACGGGAAGAGGTTTTTGGCAACTTTGCTGGCTGAAGCAGAGGCAGTTGTGAACGCACGGCTAAAGAAGAGAAGAGCTCACGGGCGCAGCGTTGGTGGGCAGAAGCAGTTGGCGGAAGGCCTTACGCTTGGCCGATCATTTTTGGCGTCGGTGGGTTCACAAATACCTGCCTACCCTGGCTCCCCGCCGCGTACCGGGTACAGATGTCGCAATTAAGGTTGGGGACCTGGGGGCCTACCGAGGGGCACCTGGCCACGAGGCGTGATTGCGGCTCTGTTTCCGGGACGTGATGGTGTGGTTAGGTTAGGGTGGCAGACGTCCGTACCCAGAGGAGCATAATGCGGCGGCCGCTTAAAAAACTGATACTTCTTTAAAAAGGGGGAGCATGTCCCTCAATGGGACCATTTTGATACATTTTTGTTTATGGTTTATATTTATTTTTTATAATGTTTTTATTCATTTTATCGATTCCTTTGGTTTTTGCAATATATGTCACAAGAAAAAAGACGTATTTTTATTTGCTAAAAATTCTCTAAAAACGGCTAAATTGTATTACCAATCGTTAACACAGATTGAGACGACTCCTAAGTTTAATGAAAACGGGCACTAGCCGCTATACACTAAGGATTGGTTGCACCAAATTTCTGTAACAATAAGAAACATGTGAAAGTACGTACCAGTTCAGTGAATAATGAGTTGCACTATTTGGTAATTGTTAGACGACATCCTAACTTTGCTATTGTTATTGATTTACTATGCCAAAAAAGAGGGTTATGCAACGTATTCCGCAATGTTAAATCACTAACTTATTTTTTTAAACAAGTTATGAAAACTTTGTGCATTAAACGAGATAAGTAGCAATTAAAACGGCATATTCAGGAATAAAATATTTTTATTAACAACATCACTTCATTTCGCGTTACAATACTGTATTGCAGTCTCAACAAAAAGAATAATTATAATGAAAATATGTTCATTAAACTTATCAATAAGACATCAAAAGGGTACAATAATTATGTTTTAAGTCAATATTTCGAACGTTTTTTAAAGAACAATATTTTAACCAAATGGTAGTTATTCTTTATAAAAATGCTTAAAAATCCATATTTCCGTATTTTCATCAATGTTCAGGCAATTAAGAATATTAACCAGCATAACATTTGAATGCAAAATTAATTAAATATAACAAAGGGCATTTTTTATGTTCGATTTACCAATTTATTATTCATCAAATTGTACGCAATCGAAATCAGTTTCATTGAACCAGAATAACGCTTTGACGCCAGATGAACTGTTTTTTTCGATAATTTCTTTAATTTCAGCTTTTAAATTAGAATCAGAACAATGGTAACGTCTTAATACATTGATTACTACGTAATAACATGCAATCACCTTTGGATTCACTAACATAGACTTGAGAACAAGATACCGACTCTGCTTTGGAAAATCTAATGAATCAAACACATTCCACAGTATTTCCGTCAATAAACTATGAACTAATTGGTTAATAGAAGGAACGAATTCATCAAATAAGTTTATTAAACTTTTTCCAAGCAAAGGTGTTATCATTATACACAATTTATGCCACTGATTATTTAGCTCAACTTTTGTTCCCACCTCTAAAATATCTATCGAATTATCATTTAAGTAATTATTTAATACTTCCACAAAACTCATAACCATGTTCAATATTGTTAATAAACTATAGTTCTCTCCTAAACATAGTCTTTTTGATATAACATTATTTATAGCATTAAATAAATAAATCGGCATTATAAACTTTTTCTCAACAACCGTCCTTAAGCCACCAATAAGTTTGTGAAGCAATTTTTCAAAACTTTTCCTGAAAATTCGTTCTTTATTTATTTTCACACTCCATAAAGTCAGATAGACTTCAAAAACAGGAATGAAAACTCGTTCGAAACGCTGCGTTTGAGTTTCTTCAAATTTGCACGTCAGTAAATACAACGCAAAAATATCTGTGAAGATTTCAAGTTCCTTGTCAACATGGCATTTTTTACCTAAATATTTTCGGAATGAATTTAATAGAACGTCTTCAATGAAGGTGGCGTCTATTAAATCAATAATATCTAAAACTTCGCGAAAGCTTTCTAATTTTTCCTGCTTGAACAATCTCAGTTGTAAATAACATTTCTGAAAAACGAAAGGTCTGTTCTTTAAAGGTACTTCAGACACATGTTTCAACGCATATCGTAAGATTCCAGTTTCTGTAAGAGACATTTTGTCAATGAAACTATTCATTATTCCCAAAATTTCCGTAATATGCATATAATTCCTTTTCATGCAAAGAAATTTAAATAATTGTTTAAAAAGGATTCCTTTAACAGTCGTATTATTTGTAGCTGCCCAGAGAGTTACAATATATGGCTTACATAAATCAAAATTCATTTTCTCCATAATGGAACGAATAGTAATTTTTTGGAGAGACACGGGCACTTTCAATAATTTTGAAGCATAATCTATTGACTGATCATGGCTCATATTATACAAAATCGCTTGCAGAGATGGTAGAGCGTATTGTAAGTAATCATCTCTCGCAAACTGTAGAACGACGTCTATTTCAACAGGTGGCCGTATTTTATATAATTGTGCTGCAGTATTCTTGCTCAACTTATAAGATACTTCATCAAAATCTTCATTCCACATAATTCTAGTTTCAACTGGAATAAACTCTTTTAAATAATAATTTATCTGTTCGCGTGGCAAAATGATGCAAAGCCCTTCTAATGAAGCTTTATGCCCTGTCAACTGACGAAATCGTTTAACGTATTTATTTATCCATTCTTGTGCTATCGAGCGTGGCCAATAAATTCGCAATTTCCGTAACGTATACTTCAGTGACATTGAGTCATTGCAACACATTACATCTACTTCATTCGTGTGACGTGACAATAAACTCGGATCATGCTTTAAAGCATTTAAACATACTGCGTCGCTAGGATATAAGAAGAAAGATTCTTCAAATAAATACTTTCTAAAAGTTTTGTGCTCTTTATAGAGGTTTGTCAGTGGAGTATCCCAAAGATTTTGCATTTTAATTTTTATTACTTTTTTGATAATTTTAATTATTAATGGATAGTCGCGCAAATTCTTTTTCCAATCTTCTAATAATTCGAAAACATTTTCCAACAATTGTATTAATGTTACCAGTTGAGAATGTCTTGTTATTGTCTGTGTTTCAATTTTTTTACTGATATAACTGAAAAGATAGGAAAACAATTTATTCTGCTCATATTCGTTTAATTTTTTTCTGTAATCTTTTAAGGTATTAAAAATAAATTTTTCCTCCACAACACTTGGGACACTTCGGTCACGGATAAGATTATACACAATTATAGCCTGAATACAAAACTGAACTTTATTTTCCGATTCGATATACACTTCCATATATCTAAAAATATCATCGAGGACATTCCAAGTCTTCTCGTTTAACCTATGAACGTGAACCCGAGATATTAATTTATTTATAAATTGAATTTTATACTTGAATGTTTCATTGACATGTTGGTCATAGTAATACTTTAACAATGTGTGTATATGTTCTGGATTACGTGCAGCGCAATGCAGTAGCACAGATAATATCGTATATCTCACATCAGGCTTAGACTCAATATTTATTTTTTCTGTTAATTCAGGGAAAGCTATTTCGAATGGAGCTAAGCGATACCAATGATAAATGTCACATGAAGGAAACGACGAAAACCGCAACAGAATTTTATCAGTAGAATCTTCTTCGACATCATTGTTATTCAGTACCGCTTCATTATCTATAAATATTTTTTTTACGTACTCAAATCTTTTCCCATGAGGTAGATATCTAAAAAATAATGATAAATGATCGAAACTAGACCAAGACCACATGTAACTTGATCCCTGGCTAAGCATTCTCAAAAAATCTATAATTTGTTCTCGTTTCAAATATTTAGCGAATGTAGAGTCATGAATATTTATATAATATCTTTCGTAACGATCAACGATCCTTTCTGGACAGGATTTCATTATTGATTTCGTTAATTTTATCCCGAACTTAGGTATGTGATACATGTTAAGGGAATCTAATACGTCAAAGTATTCTTTTGGATTTTTGTAACACAAAAACCTTGTGTTTGTCAATATATTAATCCGGTCAAAATAATTATCATCACTACTTTCAATATATTTTCTAAGTATACTAATAGATTTTTTGCATAATCTTACAAGCAAAGAGACTCTGAGTTTATGTATGTATTGTTGCACTGCATTTTCAATAAAAGGTATTGAGCATAATGGTAAAAATTTTTGAGCAACAACTACATCGTCTTCACAATAATATTTAAAAAAGTCTTCTGCACGATCTGAGTTTTTCAAATGGAGTCTTATTTGAAGAAGAAGTTTGGTCTTTGTTTTAGTAGTCATTTGTGGAAAGAGCTCTTGGTGTAGATAGCGTGGGTTGATTATATGAGCGTATCGATCATCACACAGTAACCATACGCTATGCCGCAGTGCACGGGACACGTAAAGTATATCGCCTCCTTTTAGCACCTCTAAAATGTACTGCACATTTCTTCGTGCGCACGCAACATCAACCTTAAACAAGTTGTTGATATCTTCGTCATCGTAACGTATATTTTCCAAATTGTACGTAGCAGCAGTAGCGGCTGTTTTAACTAAAGTATTGTAATGTCGATGCTTCTTTCCAAGTGTCTCACCTTCTAGTGTTAAAGGAAACATGGTGTTTGAATCTAAAACAAATATAAAATAACATTGATAAGAAATTGTGATATGATTTGTAAATATTATAATCGTTTCGTGTAGGTATTCCTTAAACAACCTCGTAACCGACAGGTTAAATAAATCAATAAAATAAAATAATTTCTTTGTGATTGATTACATATAAAATGTCAAATAATATAAAGCGAATAGATGTCACCAGAATGAAAATCTATTTTCACTATATAGTTATTTACTTAAATATTATTCATATTAATATATCAAATGTCGTGTCAATTATAAAAATAGTCTTCTTCTTCTTCTTTTCGTCAAGTGAATAAATTAATTTTTATATGTAAAATGAAAATGAAATGAATGAAAGATGGCAATGAAAAATGTAGCATATTAAAATTGTCCTTTACTATCAGAAAATTAATGTCAAGGAAAACAACCAACAATAAAATATCAATACACGACATAACGGATGACTACTGGGGAAATAAAGAAATTCTATTTAGTCCGTCAGTCAGATAACAGCCAAAAAATTAGATACGTATTTTTGGCTTCAATTTGGCATTAAATTTGAGGAGTGACGGCTCGCCACGTCACAGTTTTGTAGAAAATGTACAAAAGCATGAAGTCATACGATATTTCGACTAAATGTATCGCAGTAATTTATAATTTGCGCAAAAAAAAATACGTATTTAGTATTCTTCTATAATCTGACGGACAAACAAACAAAAAATTGTCGCCATCCGTATTTCATGAACGTTTTGTTTTATTTATTTAAACAAGTATACAGAACTATAATTATGTACTTTAAAGATTAAAGTATATATTAATTGCACACCAAAAATCGCTGCGATTTGTTTGATGTGGGACATTCGCGAAAAACCCTGCAAATGACAGTTGCTTACATTGCATGTGCACTGCACTATTCGTCACAATGTGTACGTTGCGTTCCTCTTCAAACCTCACTCTCGAAATTCCTCGTCACTCTACAGATTTTTATTCGTATTTTTCATGTTTTCAATTCAATGTAAAACTATTTAATCAATTTTATATGTATACATTGAATGAATGAATGAAATACTCTTTATTGTACACACCATAAGTAATATTGTTCATATATAATAATCTAACAGAACAGTACAATTGGATTATTTGATTACAATTGGATTATACATTCTTTTATTTATTATTCTATTTATATTTATTTATTTGTCCTTCTCAATATTGCACATACTCCCCATAGTATCGTAATTCGTTTTCCATTTTCACCATAGGTTGTCTAGAAAAGATTGCTGTTTAGCAATGAGGCCGCCATTTGTTTACTCAATTTCTTAATTAATAATTTCCTGTAAACTGTGTATCTTGTGTGCAATTGTGGAAACGAGCAGAATTGTTATAAGTCACGGTCTTTATTACACAAATAGTTTTCCTGGTATCTTAACATACTAACATGATAAATAAATACAGAGCCTGCGTAAGCTAAAGCATCAAAATGTACAACAAATATAAGCCGGTAGCAATTTTTTTTACTGTTTGCAAGAGTTTTAAGTCTGCATTTTTTCTGCATTTGACATTATTAAGATGGAGTTTATGCGGTACAATAAAATTCACAGCAGCAGTGGGAACTAACGATTTATTCGTCCGTGATTCCACAACGCAATCTCTAAGCTGTACAATACAAAATCATCATTATTATTGCTACGTATGTAGTAATCTTGTTTTGTTCAACTCTTAGTTATACAAGATATTTTTATAATGATTATAATAACATAATACATCATCTGATGGGTGTTTAGAAATAATTTCTATAAGTTCATTTTTCATTCTTATATATTCGTTTAGTTTGTTTTCTTGAGTGATGCCATCGAAATACACATGCCGTAATATATCAATGGCAATACAGTAAAATAAAGGTTCATCATTGTTAGTAAGTAGCCATTTAACAAAATGTAATTTAAATTTTCTATCTACACGTAATGTACAAAATATCTCTAAACATACTCTAGATACAAATACATGAAATGAAGCAGACTCAATTAACACATTTTTAATATACTTAAACCAAGTTTGCCCAACAGAATTTACAAATCCTAAACCAACTGTATCCCATCTTGATTCTGGGTCTTCATCAACGAAAAGATCCTTATGCATTTTTAAATTATCGTTTAATATTTCTAAGAAAATGATATACATATTCCAAGTCATTATCAAATGAAGTTCCTCTTCCAAATCCAAAACATTTTCAAGTTTGTTTCTAATGTTAATGAATAACCGTACAGGTACCGCACATTTGAATTTAGTAATTGAGTCAAAAAAGTTTCGTGCAAGACTTTCTAAAATCGAGTAGAATTTATGTCTTGAACAAGGAGGATGACACCAAAAAGAGGCACAAGTTTGTACCTCCCAAGATGCAAAACAACGTTCCATTATTGGAACCAGAATCTTTTCGTATCTTTTTATTTGAGTTTGCTCACAATCACAGTTAAATAAATACAAAGATAAAATATCGCACCCATATTCACTGTTATCTTTAAAAATTCGCTCACTAATTATTTTTATCATCTCATTTTCTACAAAATTAGGATCTAGTTTATCAAACACTTCATACGCGGATCGATTCACAAGAAAATCATCATAATTGTATCCTAATGCCGTATCTTTTAAAAATATATATATTTTAATAAAAAAAACGGGGTTATCTGCCAAGTTATGCGTGACATGATAAATTTTATTATATAAGGGTTTTCTTTCGGAAGGTAATAAATCATCATAAACTTTTCTAAACAAATCCCAAACTTCTACAGCTATCGATGTATCTTTCTCTCGGAAAAGAAGATCAAGTAGCTTCATGGCAAGTCGAATTTTCACCTTCTGGTAATGATCAATTGTATTCTTCTTCAAAACGGAATGGATCATACGTGTAGCATGTTTATGAAAAGACCCATAATTTAATAAAACTAGTATAATACTCCAAAACTCGTTCACACTCATATTTCGTAGAATAATATTGAAAGAGTGAATAAGGTACCGTAAATATTCTTTTTTCGCATACATTATTAAATCTCCTTCGTCTACCAATGATGGACGTAGCAAAAACAAAAACCTTGCTATATTTTGACGCAAACTATTCAATTTTTTATTGTTTTCGGAATTCATCTCATCTGGCGCGTACTTTCTTATTAAAATGGTCATGGCTTCTTCATAAGGCAGAATAATTAATAGACTTTTCACCATTACTTCTTGACCAATGGGTTGCTGTAAGTATTCCAAAAAAATTTCAACCCATTCTCGAATCGTTAATTTTGACCAGTAAATCCTCAACATCCCAAGTGTTCGCTTTAGAAAAATTGAGTCATTGGAACACTTCGATATGAGATCATCTTTGTAGCGTGACAACAGATTGGCATCGTGTCTTAATGCACTAAAACATGTCTCGTCACTAGGATATAAAACTAATAGCTCATCATGTAACTGCACCATAAAAGATGTATGTACTTTATATAATTTAGATAAATCAATATCCCAATGATTATTCTTTTTTGTCTTGATAATCTCTCGTATGTTAGCAATTACTACGGGATAGTCGTCTGGGCCTTTATTCCAGTTTTTTAAAAGGACCAACACCCCTGTAATCAAATCTACCATAACACTCATCTCTTCTTCATTCACAATATCCTTCTTGTACAATTTCGTAAAACATGTTTCAAATACATAATCTAACACTTTTTGCTGTTCATCAGCATTTAACTTACTGCGATAATCAATAAAGCTGTTGAAATGTACCTTTGTATTAAATGATTCTGGGATTTGTACATCATGAGTTAACTTGTAAACGATCATGACCTCAAAACACTTCGGAACATCTTTGTTAGTGTCTGCGTAGAAATCCATACTCGTGAATATATCATCAAGAATAGACCAAATGCGTTCGTTGAATTTATTTAAACTTCTCGGTGAGAGTACTTTATTAAGAAACTGAACTTTATTCTCATACAATTCACCCATGTGTTTGGATTGATAATATTCCAATAATGTTTGTATGTTTTGAGAGTTATCTCGGGCGCTAGATACTAAAACACCTAAAATCGAGTTTCTTTTATATGGAGAAGATTCTGTAGTAATTATGTTTTGTAATTCGTGAAAAGCATTATCAAATGGTATGAACTCATAGCACCTGTATCCTAAGGCACCTTTTAAATCTGCTAAGCTAAGCGCGCTCATTGAATTCGAATCATTTTGTTTTTGCGCTAATATCGTTCGTATAAAATGTAATCTTTTGGTTTCGGGCATGTATCGCAAAAAATGTTTGAGATTTTCATATCGAAAAAATGCTTTCATGAAATCGCTCTCAATATGTCTTAATAAAATATTTTCGATGTCGTCTTTTTCGATATACTTTACAAATGTAGGTAAATAGATACCGTAGTAAAACTTGTCAAAATTCTCTATAATATCTTCAAGGTATCGTTTCATTAAAGATCTAGTAAACCTTCTTCTAAATTTTGGCTCCCTTTGATTCCCCGAGTAAATTAAATCTAATATCTCCATAGCTTCTTCTCGTTCTGCTTTTAATAAATATCTGTATAATAAATAACTATCGCGTGAGTGACTGTTCAAATAACATTTTAAAATCTTAGAAGATTTACTACAAAGATGTTTTATTATGTTAAAAGATATTTCATCAGCATGGTTGACCACTATATCGTGCACGAAATCTATAGAACAATGGCGAAGCCAATGTTGAGCAATGGACAAATTATCTTTGTAATAATTAAAGAACCCCTCGGCGCGAGCGGAGTCTTTTAAGTTTTTCTGTATGGAGGCAAGTAATTTGTTTTTTGCCTTTATCATCATGTTTGGAAGCAGTTCCTCGCTGAGATATTCAGGGTTGATAATGTTCGCGTATTGTTCTTCAGATACAAGCCAGACGCTGCCTTTGATTGCTCGGGAAACGTACAGCATATCCTGACACTTCAATACATCGAGTATATACTCGACCATTCTCCTAT